GCCTCGCCTCCCCGCCCATACCCTATATACGCTCACTCTTTCTCTCTATTCCCTCTTTTTTTCCCCCCTCTCAGGTCTGAACGGAGTGGGTTCATGCACGGTCCGTTAGATCCATGGGGAAGGGTTTGGGGGGAGGGGGGGAGTAAGCTTGAAAAGTGACCACAATCTCTAGTATAACTTACCCCAGCTGGCCTTAATCAGCTATTTAAATGCGCTTAATTGGCCTCAACTCCACGGTGTATATTTTTACTCTTACAACGACAACAACCACCCTGCTCCTACAGCACTCTCTCCACTCTTTTCCTCTCTGAATGTGGCATCTTTAGCTCTTTATCCCCCCACCCCCTCCCCCAATGAGCGCCAGTGCCAGTCGCCCAGTTAAACGCGCGTTATATACGTCCTCGCTCCTAACGATCTGCAAGACCGTAACGGAGCGCGCTGCACGCGGATAACGCTGAGTCGACGGGGCGGACGGATTTCCTCCGGAGCCGCTCCGCCTGGCTCCGGCCCGCTCCGCTTGCCGAGAGTCCGACAGGCGGATCTCACCGCGTCAGCCGCAGGCCGCGCCCGTGCCGCACCGGCCGGTCAGACAGGAGACTCATCCCCCTGCACCATGCCTTTCTGTCTGCTTGAACGTTCGCTGACTTGTTGCCTCCTCCCTCAGGTATACCAACAAATTTGAAAGAAACCAGAGACCGACACACAAATAGACAATTTTTCGGGGCTACTAAATATTTCGGGAATGCTACTAAATGTCTCTGTGAAGGCACTAAAAGTTCCAAAAATACATAGCACCTTTCAAGGGGTACAAATTTCGATTTACGCAATTTAGAAGGCGTCTTTGATTTTACCAGTGAACAGACGACTTTTACGTTTTACTGACTTTTATTTCTTACACCAACGGATAGAGAAGTGGCGTTACCCGCGCGCTGGTGACCACGTGGCTCGTGTACCGCCCCCGCCCGCCAGGAGCTGGCTGTGATAGCGCCGCCGCCGGGGGGCGGTCGGCAATTACTCATCCAACTCCACC